GAAGAGCAAAAATTATTGGTTAGAGCAAAAACCATTTATTTGGTTAATTTATCTTTTCAGTTTTGCATTTTTTACTAAAGGCGTGGCAATAAGAACTATAATTTTGAAAAGCATAATTTTTGATTAACCCTTGCTATATGAATTGAAAAATTATCCAATGAATGGTTTTGATACTGTATATTTTAGTTTTGTTACCAGAATAATGTTTTTTTCCATAAATGTTAATACCATACAGTACGATAATTTTACCAGAATTTTTCTAGCGCATATATACTTTCAAGCATAAAATATCTGTGATATATAAAATATATCTTATGATTTTTGCTTTATAATCGGAATTATTAGCTGTAGCTTTAATAGTTAGAATATTTCTTTCCAAAAATTAATAGTTTGTTTAAATAGTCTAAACAGTACTCTGAATTCTTGACAAATATATCAATGAAGATTTATGTGTGTGATATGTGTGTGGTAAAATAAATTAAATTTGAGTTCAAGCAATTTCTGTTGATTGACAATTGTCATAAATCATTGCTTCAAAGAAGCAATTGTTTACTAAGAGGAAATTAATAAGCTTAAATAACTATGGGTTCGTTAGACAGAAAGTACTTTCTCGCTTTTATAAGTATACCTTTGCTGCTTATGGTAATCATTATTCTTATATTATTTTAACAAATTTTATTTTTCATCCGAACATGATTCAAAGTATTATTGCACCATTAAAATAAGGTACTGTAGTGTTTCGCTTCGCGAGAGTAAAAAAGAGTCTATAGATAGTGATTGTTGTAATTTTCAACTAAACCGATAATTTTATTTTCAAGTAGCACAAAATTCAGGCTAATATTTTATGAAAAAAAGACATATTTTTTATACACTTTCACAAGGTATATTATTTTATACAACACTCTTGATTCCTTCGTTGTAAGTGGTATCTTATGAGTCATTTTAACACCGTCGAGAGTTTTGTTTTAAAATTTTGAAACAATTCTCCGAAAGAAACTAAAAATGTCGGACTAAAGAATCTATGAGAAAATGGCTATTATCAGGGAACATACGTGCTGTAACAAGAGATTTTATTTTTACTAATATTTTGAAATATGCTTGATGACTTTTAGCAAAAAAAATCATTTTAAGAGAAGTATATGTAGAAGTTAGGAAAGTGAAGACTGGAGATAAGTAGAGAAGGTGATCTGATTATGCTATCCTAGAAAAAAACAACACAAGTTTCTCTCTTCTGGACTCCCGATGATAGAAAGAAAAGAAGTAGACCTAGTATAAGATAGCAAAAACAGATTGGAGATGACTTAAAAAAGTCTGGGTTGACCACATTAGAGATGGCAAGCTGCCGGGTTAGAGACAGGTGGTTGTGTATGATGGATGCTTTTTATCCAGACGGCTAGAAAAGCTTAAATGAGTATGCATGGTTTAAGACAGAAACATTGAAATTAACGCTAAATATTTTTTTTTTAAAATATGGGATCATCAATTTGGAGTCGTGATCTCTTATGTGTAATTAGCAATGCAATGCAAGACACATTGGGCTTGCCCTGGTTTTCATGGTTTCTCACCCAGGAACAATGTTTTCATAGGGCACATTACGACCCATAATCCTCATAGAACAATCCCTGACGTCTGTTAGCTACTTGAACATAGCTGCAGACCAGGTTCACAAATTCATGGCAACAGTCTTTCATGCGGGGGATGGTGTTTACCAACAGGATAATGCACCATGTCACAAGGGTCTAATCGTCGGGGAACATTCCAGTGACTTTCAAGTCATGTCTTGGCCCCCAAATTCACCTAACCTTAATCCAATAGAGCATTTGTGTTCCTACTTGGAAAACCAGATTCGAGCTGCCACGCTACCCCCTCGCGATGCGAGGGAATTGCAGGACCAGTTGGTGAACGCTTGGTACCAGATACCTCAGAATACCTATCAGCACCTTGTGGAATCAATGCCACTGCGGGAGCTAGCAGTTTTGAGGGCTAAAGGTTGTCCTACCTGTTATTAGCAGGGTGATCATAATGTAATGGCTCTTCGGTATATATATATANGACAAAAAAGCATTCTGTTAATTTGTCAATTAGTAATTCTTACAAGGCAATCCAACCAATCTAATCCGAAACATTATTTTATTTACCTTCATCATAGTAAAAACAAAACAAAAAATTTTCAAAGCCCGACTGGAGAATGACCTGACGTGATGCAGGCATCTGAAGGGCAAATTAGTTGGCCACTCTTTCAGGGGCACCATATTAGGTAGGCCAATGTTGCTCCCACAGTAAAGACAGATAGTAAGTAGAAGGAAAGGACATCAGTGCCTTGCCCGGGATTCGAACCCAGAACCTTTCGGATGCAAGGCCAGTTCCCTGACCCCTGCGCAGGCCGATCGGCGCATAAGCAAAAGTAAATGTAAATAAAAAGCACACTTGCTTTAACAGAATTTCAGAAAAAAAAATTTATTATTTGTACAAAAAGTTTTTTTTTCCTACAATTTCCAATGGCAGACACGAGAGACAAATTTGTAGCTGAGAACAGTACAAAAAAGGAACAAAAAACGGAAACAAGGGCTACAAAAAGAAAGAGTCTATAGGTCATTAATAATGTATCTCGCCTGCCAATAAAGTTCAGAGGGGATAACTACGTTATTGAATTTCTCAAGGTGATTCTGAAGTTGTGATAGAGCAACGCTTATTGTCGATACTTCAGCATCGTAGGCTGTTCTAGACGAACCGATCGGGGTGTAAAATTAGAAACGGTTGCAGGAAACTCCGGCTCCTGCATTGATCCAATCTTGAACCGTCTGTGAATATATGTAGCCATTCGTGCTCCGGGTACAGTAAGTGTAAAGTCTCCTAGGCGATAGATTTTAAGACTTGGTCATTTGTGTCTTTCTTGGAAACATCTTAACATAGGTTTAAACCCAGTGAGTATCTCTCTTTTTCGATAGGACAATGTGATCTAATAAGGTCATCTGTCCTCCAAGTGATATTTAGTTGGTCTTTTAATTCGACGACTCTTTGGAGGAAACCGTTCTGGGTCTTCAAGGTTCGACCAATATTTGCCAGTGGGGTGCTCCATAGGGAGAGGCAGTCTGGTAGTCTTAATATTTTTTCCCACAAAGGAACTGCCCTCTCTTCTACACTTGTCTTGATCTTCATATGGTGGGTAGATAATAAAAGTGCATCGATCGGAGTTGCTTTAACGGCCTCTAACGAATCTGTTATCGAAGGACCTGATTGTGGAATGTTTCCAGCTAGTCAAGAACTTTTTTGCTGGTCGCCGCCAGCGGCTCGCAGCAGTAAGTCATGAGGGGGAGTATATAAGATTTATATGCCATGTCGAGGGTATTTCTACAGCAGCCCCACTTGGCTGCTGTAGAAATACCCTCGGTTGTATATGTAGAGGCTATTATTTTCATTAGAGGAAGTCTCGAGGTGGCTCTCTCCAAAATTTTGGTCACGAGCTCTGTCCTCGTCAGTTTTCGATCGAATACAACATTTAAGTATGAAGAGGAGTCTGTATATAAAACGGGAAAGTCCTCATACAATAGCTTTAATTTGATAGGCTGATGTGCCAAGGAGAAGGTCTGATAACATGTCTTTTCCAGGTTGACTTCCATGTTATTAATGTGGCACCATTTGCTTAATTCCTTTAAAGCCTGATTAATGGCTAGTTCTAACTGTCACTCAACACTATTTTTGGGAGCTTCGATACAAATGACTAAGTCATCTGCGTAGAGAAGGCATTTGATACCATTAATTTTCTTAAGGTCGACAATAAGGTCATTTATGTATAAGTTGAACAGTAAGCAGCTGGTAACAGCTCCCTGAGGGAGACCTGTCTTGAGAATCTTGCAACGGGGAAAGCAGTTCTCATAGCGAACCTTACAGATTCTCTGGTAGAGAAAACTTCAAAACCAGTCGAACATTTTTGAAGGAACACCTATTTTGGCGAGTTTCAGTAGAAGGTTTTCCCTACAAACCAAATCGTAAGCAGATCTTAGGTCCACGAAAACAGCAGTGTGTACTTGTTTTTTATCAAGAGCATCCTTTATATATTGGCTAAGGAGAGTGACATGTTGGTTAGGTGATCTTCACCGTCTAAATCCTGCCTGTTATTTGGCTAGGATGTTGTATGTTTCTGTGAAAAGGATCAGTCTTTTTGCAATTATTTTTTCCATGGTTTTGGCTAGCATACTCGTTAATGAGATTGGCCTGGATCCTTTTAGGTTACCTTTATCTTTGCCCTCTTTGTGTATAGGGATAATGATTGATTTGAGCCATATTGAGGGGACACTACCTATATCCCACACTAAATTAAAATATTTTAGAATGGTCTGCGCTGCCTGAGTCCCCAAGTTAAGAAGAAAGTCGGCAAATATCGCGTCTTCGCCTGGGGAGTTTTTGGTCTTTAATCTGCTAATTGCAGTGAGGAGTTCATCGAAAGTAATGCTAGCAGAGAAAATTAGGCGGGGATTAAAGGGCTCTGAATTTAAGTTTGAGTTGTTTAAATCCTTTATACCTTTATTTGTAACCCTTGTTTGTTTTCTACACAAGCTAGATTTATACTGTGCAGCAGAGAAATGTTGAACAAATGCATTGGCTATTTTGTTGTAAGATGTAAAAGTCTTCCCGTTGACTTCGAATGGTTTCTTCATTAAATTAGGTGTCCCATTCTTGATGCTTGAGAGGAACTTATAGGCTCTCTTTCTATCTCTTTGGAAATTCAACTTGGAAACGAAGTTGTTGAATGATGATCGTTTCTCTTTGAGAACGGCCTTTTTGAAGGAGGCTGCTTGTTTTCGTCATGCCTGGACATCCGAAGGACGTTCAGTAATATTAGCTTTTTTCCGAAGTCTATTTCTTTTGTCCTTCATAGCCTAGATCTCTTCTGACCAGAAACATTTGTAGCCTTTGCATTTACCTCTTGAAATAGATTGTCTAGCACATTTGACAATCTTATGTGCAATGAATTTATTTATGTGGTCGGTTTTTGTATCCTAATCTATTGCTTTGGGATCAAGTGCTTTATCTGTCAGTTCTTTGAATTTCATCCAATTGACTTTTCTAAAATTCCATGATGTGTTTGAAGTAGTTGGACCCTGATTTGGAACCAGGAGAGAAATCTCAGCTATGACTTGTTGATGTCCCGAACCAGGGTCCTCAAGCACTTTTCCTTTAGTATTGGAGGATATACCCGCCGAAGCCAGTAGGAGATCTGGATTGTATTTTTTTCCATTGTAGTGGAGAAATGTGCAAGGGTCTTTGTGGTCAAAGATCAGGTCCAGTGTGGATGAGCACAGAAGATCTTCAATTTCCTTGCCAAAGTCGTTTATATCCTGGTAATCCCATTTCGGAGAATGAGCATTGAAATCTGAAGATGGGTTTTGTTAAGTTGTTAAAGAACGTAAAACCTGGTTTTTTGCCCGGAGGATTGTATATGGCGAAAATTCCAATGAAAAATTACAAATGACATTGTGTTTCCACACTTCCCCAGATATAATCTCACTTTTATCCACATTGTGGGTCATGTCATGAATAATTTTGAATCTTGACAGCAAACTGTCCTTTACCCCAGTAAAAATGCCACTTGCAACCTGTCTAGATTTGGAAGCAAGTATAGGAAATACCCTTTAAATGTGAGAAACGGAAGATTTTCTTGGGTAATGTTTGCTTCCATTATAGTGAAAACATCAATATCCAAATCTTGTAAGCATCGCATTATCTCAGATTGCTTGGCGTAAGAGAATCCGCCTGCATTCCACTGCAGCACACGCAGAGAGGAAGCACGACGAGAGAGACATATTGTGAAAGACATATTGAGAGAGACATATTTTAGCAGCGACCCAAAATTAACGGCTAGATAACGTATTTAATTTTTACAGCTAGATACTAAACTAAACTCAGCGGCGCGACAGTCCAAGAGGGCCAAGGCCTACTGTGCCCATCTCAGTTTTCTTGACCTTGGGCTCTGGGGTGCAGGAGCAGATGTTCCGGTCAGGTGGTCAGCCGAACGCGGAACCCCCAGTGTTTAGTTCCCAAGCATGCTTGGTACTTATTTATCGACCCACTGAAGGGATGAAAGGCTGAATCTACCTTGCCCGGCCCGAGGATCGAACCAGGGACCTGTGGCACGTCAGCGCAAAGCGCTACAGCTCATCCACCGGGCGTTTTTAGTTTTACAGCTAGATAACGGCTTTTAATTGTTTATAAATATTCTTTAATGTGTCCGACGAAATTGCGTCCCGCAGTGGACTGATCGTTAAGACACGGTTCCCAACAGATCACCGAAGTCAAGCATCACTGGCTACGGTCAGTGTGCGGGTGGGTGACCACTTGGATCAGTCTGCGTAGGGACCGAGGGTGTGCGGTATTGGTCCTCGTTAAAGTGCTACCGTAAAGTGTTCGACTTCGCGCGCAGGTCGTCGGGCTACCGAAGCGGGGGTGCCATCCCCTCCGNAGGTCGACAATAAGGTCCTTTATGTATAAGTTGAACAGTAAGCAGCTGGTAACAGCTCCCTGAGGGAGACCTGTCTTGAGAATCTTGCAACGGGAAAAGCAGTTCTCATAGCGAACCTTACAGATTCTCTGGTAGAGAAAACTTCAAAACCAGTCGAACATTTTTGAATGAACACCTATTTTGGCGAGTTTCAGTAGAAGGTTTTCCCTACAAACCAAATCGTAAGCAGATCTTAGGTCCGCGAAAACAGCAGTGAGTACATGTTTTTTTATCAAGAGCATCCTTTATATATTGGCTAAGGAGGGTGACATGTTGGTTAGGTGATCTTCCCAGTCTAAATCCTGCCTGTTATTTGGCTAGGATGTTGTATGTTTCCGTGAACAGGGTCAGTCTTTTTGCAATTATTTTTTCTATGGTTTTGGCTAGCATACTCGTTAATAAGAATGGCCTGGATCCTTTTAGGTTACCTTTATCTTTGCCCTTTTTGTGTATAGGGATAATGATTGATTTGAGCCATATTGAGGGGACGCTACCTATATCCCACACTAAATTAAAATATTTTAGAATAGTCTGCGTTGCCTGAGTCCCCAAGTTAAGAAGAAATTCGGCAAATATCGCGTCTTCGCCTGGGGAGTTTTTGGTCTTTAATCTGCTAATTGCAGTGAGGAGTTCATCGAAAGTAATGCTAACAGAGAAAATTAGGTGGGGATTAAAGGGCTCTGAATTTAAGTTTGAGTTGTTTAAATCCTTTATACCTTTATTCGTAAGCCTTGCTTGTTTTCTACACAAGCTAGATTTACGCTGTGCAGCAGAAAAATGTTGAAATGTTGCATTGGCTATTTTGTTGTAAGATGTAAAAGTCTCCCCGTTGACTTCGAATGGTTTCTTCATTAAATTAGGTGTCCCACTCTTGATGCTTGAGAGGAACTTATAGGCTCTCTTTCTATCTCTTTGGAAATTTAACTTGGAAATGAAGATGTTGAATGATGATCGTTTCTCTTTGAGAACGGCCTTTTTGAAGGATGCTGCTTGTTTTCGTCATGCTTGGACATCCGAAGGACGTTCAGTAATATCAGCTTTTTTCCGAAGTCTATTTCTTTTGTCCTTCATAGCCTTGATCTCTTCTAACCAGAATCATGTGTAGCCTTTGCATTTACCTCTTGAAATAGACTGTCTAGCACATTTGACAATCTTATGTGTAATGAATTTATTTATGTGGCCGGTTTTTGTATCCTAATCTATTGCTTTGGGATCAAGTGCTTTATCTGTCAGTTCTTTGAATTTCATCCAATTGACTTTTCTAAAGTTCCATGATGTTTCTGAAGTAGTTGGACCCTGATTTGGAACCAGGAGAGAAACCTCAGCTATGACTTGTCGATGTCCCGAACCAGGGTCCTCAAGCACTTTTCTTTTAGTATTGGAGGATATATCCGCCGAAGCCAGTAGGAGATCTGGATTGTATTTTTTCCATTGTAGTGGAGAAATGTGTAAGGGTCTTTGGGGTCAAAGATCAGATCCAGTGTGGATGAGCACAGAAGATCTTCAATTTCCTTGCCAGAGTCGTTTATATCCTGGTAACCCCATTTCGGAGAAGGAGCATTGAAGTCTGAAGATGGATTTTGTTAAGTTGTTAAAGAACGTAAAACCTGGTTTATTGCCCGGAGGATTGTATATAGAAAAAATTCCAATGAAAAATTACAAATGGACATTGTGTTTCCACACTTCCCCAGATATAATCTCACTTTTATCCACTTTGTGGGTCATGTCATTAATAATTTTGAATCTTGACAGCAAACTGTCCTTTACCCCAGTTAAAATGCCATATGCAACCTGTCTAGATTTGGTAAGCAAGTATAGGAAATACCCTTTAAATGTGAGAAACGGAAGTTTTTCTTGGGTAAAGTTTGCTTCCATTATAGTGAAAACATCACTATCCAAATCTTGTAAGCATCGCATTATCTCAGATTGCTTGGCGTAAGAGAATCCGCCTGCATTCCACTGCAGCACATGCAGAGAAGAAGCACGACGAGAGAGACATATTGTGCCAAAGTTGTAGGTCACTTACCGTTAGCAGCGACCCAAAATTAACGGCTAGATAACGTATTTAATTTTCACAGCTAGATACTAAACTAAACTCAGCGGCGTGACAGCCCAAGAGGGCCAAAGCCTACTGTGCCCATCTCAGTTTTCTTGACCTTGGGCACTGGGGTGCAGGAGCAGATGTTCCGGTCAGGTGGTCAGCCGAACGCGGAACCCCCAGTGTTTAGTTCCCAAGCATGCTTGGTACTCATTTATCGACCCACTGAAGGAATGAAAGGCTGAATCAACCTTGCCCGGCCCGAGGATCGAACCAGGGACCTGTGGCACGACAGCGTGAAGCGCTACCGCTCAGCAACCGGGCGTTTTTAGTTTTACAGCTAGATAACCGCTTTTAATTGTTTATTAAATATTCTTTAATGCGTAAAATGCGACGAAATTGCAATTTTTCCAAAAGAAAAAAATTTATCAACTCAATGAACAAAAAAAGAATGGGCCTATAATAAATTCAGATAAAATCCGTGAGATAAAATAAAATCTGGGGGGGTCATCTATCATAAAAGGTTAAATAATGAGCATAGGAATAAATATAATAAACTTGTATTTTCCGGATTATTATTTCATTAAAATAATAAAAATTACTGATTTTGTTTTGATTTTCCAAGAAATTTGTTGATTTTCCGTGAAAGATTCCGACTTAAATTCTGATAGGAACGAAAGGATATGGCGAGTCAGACGGGCGTGACTTTCTTTTTAATGTTTTAAAAATATGTACTGTAACATTGCAGCAAAGGTGAAAAATCAAAAAATTACTCACCATTCTGACCATAAATTGAACTTATTTTTCCGACTTTTGTAACATTGCGTTATATATTTTCATTGTTATTTTTCTGCACAAGTACTGTTTTGTCTAATTGTAATTTAGTTTTTATTCTCCAATCTCACGCATATTAGGTGCACGGGAGCCAATTATCAAGTGATTTTGCAATAAAAAATTGTGTACACTGTGTCTTTTGATATCGAAGGTACTGATCAACATTGTAAATTACTTTTTCTAATATCTTGCCAATATCTTTGCTGACATGCTAAAAACAATATCTTTCAGTATCTAATAGTCATTTTGCTACACCTAGACACCATTACTATGAGTTGTCGAAATGCAAAGGGGGGTTCGTAAGTTGGCGAATGGTATATGTTCATAACTGGGAGACATGGGAAGTGTGACTTGCCAATTTTGAAATAAACTAGTGGGATGTATGCCTTTTGAGGAATAATTTTAGGGGGCAACATTCGTTTCGGCCCATAGAAGGTCCTATGAGAGATAAAAAATAATTCAATATATAGAAAAATCGGTATTTTATTACTTCAATGCAAACTATTAGTTATTTTAATTATCTCATACTCCAATTGATTTTGTGGTACTTTCACGTACTATATAATGCATATTTATTGTTAAAATTGATTTCGAAAATTTTGTAGTTTTTCAGAAAAACCTATTTGGTTAATTAAAAAAAAATTGGCATCAAATTAAAATTTTTTTTTCCAAACCAAATTAATTGGAGGATGTAATTGCAAATTAATTAATTAATTAATAATTAATTAATTAGAAGACTTATTAATTAACCAATTAATTGCAAATTAATTGGAGAATGAGATAATTACAATAACTAATAGTCTGCATTGAAGTAATAAAATACCGATTTTTCTATATAATGAATTATTTTTTATCTCTCATAGGACCTTCTATGGGCCGAAACGAATGTTGCCTCCTAAAATTATTCCTCATAAGGCATACATCCCACTAGTTTATTTCAAAATTGGCGAGTCACACGCCCCTAGTCTCGTCTTGTGAGTAATTTTTTATTTTCCAAGATGTTCACCATAGATTTTATTTGTATGAAATATAATAACAAGTATTCCATTTAACAATAACAGAGCAAAAATAAATAAAAAAAAGCTTAGAAATTGCCGCAGTTTTAAACAAAAAAAGTATTATTGTTCCATAGTACTTTATTCATGAAAATATAAAAGAAA